GACATTCGCTTCCTGTCACTGTTAAAGTCTAACAGTGCCAACATGGTATAAGTCCTTTCTTCCCCCATCTCACTGATGGTAATGGTGTCTTGCGTCCGTGACAGGAAGACGTATCCAAAATTCCTTGCAGCCGTGACAAGTGCTCCTTCATCAGGAGAGGCTGCCTGGTAGACCAGCTCATCTGAGGGAGTAAGCACCATGCCACTGCGTTTTCAATCAGACACAAACCAAGTTCCCTTTCTCCTGAAGAGTCAGTGGAGCTACCAAAACCCTTTTGATAATCTTCTTAATAAAAAAGGACTTGCTGAAGTTTAATGACAATGAGAGAAACCTTCATATAACCTTTTGTGTAACTCACGCAGACTTCCTTATTATAGGAAATGTGAATGTTCGTTTTGCAACATATAAAAAAAATATGACATGCTCCTGAATTTAATATCTTAAATTAGTGTAGCGCTTTTCATCCCAAAGGATCACAAAGCACTTTACAAGCAGCTATTAATCCATCACTAAAGCGTAGCATCCAGCTAGTGATGGTCTCTTTCATTCTGTGCCAACAGCCCCACTCACTTGTTCCAGTGGAACAGCAAGAAATAAGTTTTCCAGCTGAACTGAAGAGGAAATTCAGGGACAGCAGCCCCCAAGTTGAATTTACACCTTTACTCTTAACAGTACTATGGGATCTCTAATGACCAAGTAGTCAGGACCTCTGTCTAGGTTTCAAGAGGGTGGTGTTACCCTCTGCAACAAACCTTTGCCCACTAGGTGTCACTACCATAAGTCCTGTTAAAATCTTGGCATGAAATTACTATTCTTCTGTACATGATCTCAGGAAGAACTTCTGGGGCTCTGTGTTGTTGCAAAATGATACAACAGCTTTACGATAACCCAGAAATGCTGAATTTTTTTTCGGAACAACTAAGCATTGCAGAGGAATTTGTAAATAAGCAAATGTATTGCATTTAGTGTGTTAAATGAATTGCAGTGAAAAGAAAGCCAATGGATAGCACTGGTCCCCATCACTATCTAAACACACTGTACAAAATACAGTAGTGAAGCATACATTGACGTATGACGAAACTGACAACCATACCAATGAGAGGAGGCTAGCTGTGGTACAGCTGAGCCACTGGTGATTCACTGTTGATCAACCTCAGGTTACTTTTAACCCTCACAAATATCTAGGTTATATAAAAGTGTCTTGAAGTGTTTTCACAGGGTGATTTCACCAATTATGTCCTGTCATAAACTGAAAGTCCTGCCAGTAGAAAAAGCACCTGAACTCTGAACTTAATAACTGTTGTACAACAATACAAACTTCTTGGAGATATTTATAATTTATATGCACACATACATATGTGAAATTCTCTGTTGGCTTTATGTATAAATGCAGAGTTTTAAGTGACGTTAATGGTAATGGTAACCCTCTGAAAACATGTTGGACTGGAGCTTACTGGTAACTGGGGAAAGTCATGATGGATACATCAATCAGCAATCACAAATTTCTGTTTGGACCCCGGAAAGACTGAATGGACCCCAAAGTGTGATGCCAATGAGACTGCAGTTTCGGAACTCGCCGTCGGTTCAGACTCACCATCTTTCTGCTCCACCATCACAGTGTGGCAGAGCGACAGCAGTTTGAAAAACTCAAGCACCTCAGGCTCCTTTCCAGCCCGGATACAGGAGGGCAAACGGTGGTCGTAGAACTTGAATTTCTTGTCGACATACGAATTCCAGCTAAAATCCACGGGCTGTGGAAAGAGGCCAAAGAAAAATGGAAATTGGTGTGGCGGCTCAGTGATGAGCATTGCTGCCCCACAGCGCTGGGGCTCTGGGCTCAGTTCCAGACCCAGGTGCTATCTGTGTGGAGTTTGCATGTTCTCTCTGGGCTCTCACCGGTTTCCTCCCACAGCTCACAGACCTGCTGGTAGGCTAATTGGCTTCTGGTTAAACCTGGCCCCGGTTTGAGTGTGCAGTTTTCTTTGTGCGTGCCCAGCAATGGCTGTACTGGATAAGACCATGATTTTATTCTGAATGCACTAACAAAAAACAACTTACTACCATATTTTCCATAGCCACTCCATCTGTGCTGTAGGGGTCTCCTGGAAAAAAGAGGGAAAAAAATACATCTTTAGAAGTAAGTTGTATACTAGAATTTTCATGTTGCATATTACTGTATTTAGACCATCATGTGTTAAAATATCCTGAAATCGTACTGCAATGACTATTTGGAGAAAAGCATTTAGGAGTGGTTTGTGAGGTCTATAGAGCACTTTGTGCACTGTAGAACTGTACAAAAACAACAGTGCAGGCATCCTTTGTAGCCATGCTGTTTCAGCTGTTTTTTTCTGAGCCATGGGGATAAGTGGAGATAAGCTATAAACCAGGCACGCATGCTGTGGCCCGTTACTCAACGCGAGGTGCTAGGCTCTGTGTCTGGGGCATACCGTAGGTCTTGCCACTGATGGTACATTTCTTGAAAGCCATGATGTTCTGCGTGAGGGTCCCCGTCTTGTCGGAGAAGATGTATTCGATCTGCCCCAGCTGCTCGTTGAGGGTGGTGGTTCTGGCCTTGGCAGGGGTGTCCTTCTCCGAGTAGTACATCTGCAGGTCCCAGTTGATGAACCTGCTCTGCCCCAGGCGAATGGCCTCCACACTTTACAGAGACACGTCAACACAAAGAGTCACTGTATACCCTCACCTGGCAAACATGTGGGACACACTTATTTTACTGAATTTGAATGAATTAGAATATCTATTCTGATAGACCCAAAAAACAAAGATACACAATTTATATAATTTAGGTTATATCAGAATGCAAGTACTATACAAGGGGAGATGTATTTGACACTGCTCCAAACTATTGTCCCCATATCTTGAGGTAACCCTTCAGCGGGAGAATGGAATGGAATGGAATATTAATCAATACCGGCCTACAGCTTTCATCCTCTGTCTGTCAACATGCAAGACTTTTTTTCCCCCCCTTACCACCAGAATTTACTCCACACTGTAATGATCAGTAACTTACAAGTGGTATGTTGCAGCCACATATATTGCATTGTTTTGTTATACAAAAGCTCTTCTGGAATTTCCACTCAGTTTTTTACCGATAATGGGGACTTTCCACCAATGTGTAGCCCCCACCTGGATGATGTGACGGCAGTCAGAATGCGCCTCACCACACACCAGCTCTCAGTGGGGAGGAGAACAGAGTGATGAAGCCAGTTCAGAGATGGTGATTATTAGGAGGCCTTGACTGGTAAAGGCCAGTGGGTACACCCCTACTCTTTTCAAGAAACGCCCTAGGATTTTTAATGACCACGGAGAGTCAGGACCTCGGTTTTACGTCTCATCCGGAGGACAATGCCATTTTACAGTACAATGTCCCCGTCACTATACTGGAGCATTAGGACCTGCAAAGACCGCAGGATGAGCACCCTCTACTGGCCCCACTAACACCTCTTCCAGCAGCAACCTTAGCTTTCCCAGGAGGTCTCCCATCCAGGTACTGTCCAAGCTCACACCTGCTGAGCTTCAGTGAGGCTGCCAGTTGTGTGTAGCAGGGCGATATGGCTGCTAACACTTTAGCTAAAATGTCTTTGAATTGCTAAGCAGTGTGGATAACAGAAATCATATATATGTAAAAAAAACTCAAATGAGATGGATATTACACCAAAGTTCGCTTCCTAGCTTTTAATCCCACAGTGATCCTGAAAAGGAAATATCAGGCAGGAGGGAAAACAATGAACAGCTTGTTGCCTCACCTTACATAGAGGGAAATGGGTACCATGGTGTTCAGCACAATGATATATCCCCAGAAGCTGAGAAAACCTCTGTAGGAGGAACTCTGATTCTTGCCGTCATACAAATACCAGGCAATGCTGCCCATCTCCTCATACCAGAAAGTGTGGCCAATGGCTAGGCCAGCTGCCACCAGGATAAGGAGAATGAAGATCTGTAGAGTCACACAAAATATAAGAACCTCATTCCTGGACAATGACAGCAGTGTCAGATTACGTTTGTTTTTCTTTTCATTTAAAAAATTGCAATTTAGTAAGGAACACCATCTTGTGATCTCCAAACACAAATATACATCATTACATTTTTATCTTAATCGTACTTGGAATAGATTGAGGTCTTAAAGCTTTTATACATCCGCAAATAACACTGACGTTTCAAAAACATGGACTGTACTTACAGTGTAGACCATGTAGTTCATTAACTCATCTATTTTAGTCCTTTTGAATCTGGTTTTGCCGCCATTCCTCATGATTTTGGTGTCGGA